ACCCATATGACCTAGCATTTACATAGCACAATTATCTGTGGTCTTATATCTCTCTACAACATATTATTTAAGACCATATAACACCAGAGGTAATTGTGCCATGTAAATGCTAGGTCATATACTGTAGGTAGGAGTGGAGGTTAGGTTTTGCATTTTGCATACAGATGTAATGCATTTAAGAAAGTTGATGTAATGTCATATGATAAAACAGCATGGTTGGAATTTTATGTATTTATCTTTTAATTTAGAATGAATAAAAAACCACTGTATAATAATTTTACGTTAAAGCTATAATTGTGAAAATAATTTGTACCTAAAAGTCCCAGAGATCTCAAATATTGGTTGAATCTAGGCATGTGCGATTTGTTTCACTATGAATCAAAAATTTGAACAAAATTTTCATTATTTGGAGACTCCGATACATCCAAATCTCTGAAATGCAATAATAATGAAATTCAACAAATCCAAAATAAATTATAATGAAAACCGCAAATTAATTAATTTTCATTTGTTTCATTTGTTTGTGACTTTAGAGGGTTTTGTAAGTTAAGTAATATGTGTCACACTCTGTATTGTTATGATTGGCTAAAGTCAAAGTTGCAAAACATCAAAGTTGTAAGCAATTCACATGGAAATCTCAAGCAAGTTGCAGGGAATTGGCAAAGTTTGCACTGGAAACAAAATGAATAATGTATTTGGAAAACAAATACATATTGTTTCAGAGCAATATACTGTATATACAAAATTAATCTGAACCGACAAAATGAATTCCAAAAATGAATCATTTTAACATAACAAATCTGATGAAATTAAATGATTGACTTAATTAATGAATCCAAAACAAAACAAAAAAATGTCATCATGCCCATCTCTAGTTGAATCCTGATATAAACAGTATTAACCACATTGACATATCTGAAAATGTGGGCCTGCTTCATTTATCCTGTTTATTTATCCAGGTGGATCTGGTTACAATTTATTTTGACTAATTCTTCAATTACATTTATCTGTGGCCTGTCCTGACCTCTTGTTGCTCAAACCAATCAACCTTTCCCATTATCCTGATACTTTCAAATAATACTGGGGTTCACAGCATAGCAAAAGTCCTCCAGCCAAACTCATCTGTATCATCAGTGGCTTGTGCCTTAAGCAGGAACTTTTGGTACATGTATACCTTTGTCTGTTCAACAAAAGCTGATCTAATTGTATTGCCCTCTAGGGGGTGCTAGAGAGTTAAATTTAGTTTTGTTCAAAGTACTGAAGTAAGCATCTCTGATTGGTTTACTCTAGGTCAGGGTGGAAGGTTCTACAGCTCAGGTCTCTGGTACCTCCCTCTGGTTCTCGAGTCTTCCAGAAGATTCTAGAAGCTATAGGGCGTAGGGGTGGAGACTGAGATTTGCATATTGATAGGAGTCTGACCAATCTCAGGCAGGAGGCTGAGGAGGAGGAAGGAGAAGAAGTTCAGGCAGAGGAAACTGCACCACAAGCCCATAAAAGGGTACTCTGCTCAAGTGGAAGACTAGCATAGCTACAGGGCCTAAACAAGCAGTCTTATTCCAAACCATAGGATACAAGGGACTGAGGTGTCCGTTTATGACACAGAGAATAGCTGCGATTCAACAGATCTCAGCTATTCTCTGGTCATTCACAGTTTATGACACTCAGGAGATCATGTCAGCCCTTCTCTGGAGATCTGTGTTCTCCCTCCAGATTCTCCAGCCCAGAGCTGGAGAATCAGAGGGACCGCAAACTAAGCAGAGATAATTTACCTTTGTTTAGTAAACTGATCTTTTACTGTAATCTCACGAGATTATAGTAAAATGAGCCATTTTCCAGAGTTTGTAGACCGTTCTCCAGCGTTTGGAGACCGTTCTCCCTTCGTTCGGAGAACTGCTTCATAAACTGTATTCACAGGAGAACTGTGTTCTCCGAGAATGCCGGAGAAATGAGCAGCGATCTATTACCGCTGGTTCATAAACGGACACCCATGTACCTCTACATCTCCAGTATCTACAAAGGAGAGGGCTGCCAGGTGCGAAACCCAGCACGTTCTCCCTGGGGCAGTGCTAAGGAATGTTCTGGAATCCCTTGATCTGGGATACTCTTCAAGGCAGTCAGATGGGTGGGTAGTTTCCAGAAGGAGCCTGAAGAGGTTCATCAAAGGGGACCAAGTGCTCCTTAAAGAGACTTTGTAACTGATCCGTTAATAGACAGAAGCCACTCCAGATTAAGTAGAGTCAAGGATCCATTCTTTTTTGTACAGAAAATAGAAAGTTTGTCCTTAGAGTTGCTCTTCCAAGTCAAGTTGGGCATCCCATATACCCCTAGAATATATCCAAGTTGTTTATCACAAATAATAATTAAAAAAAAAAAAAAAAAACAAGCTTATGGACTGGTTACTGACTCTGAAGGGTAATTTGGAATATGCATGTTGCTTGGCTGTGCAACTATAGGGGGACCTTTAAACTCAGCGACTCCTTTAGGGGATAGCTCTACATAATGACTGGATTCTGTCAAACAATATATCTGTAAAACCAGGATCAATCCATATTTTCAACCAATTGCTGCAAGAGGTGATCAGTATTCAGAGGGGAGTCCCTCTGCATTTCACATTATTGTCTTGATGCAGGGATCTGTTTTTGTTTGTTTTATTCAACTCACTGGTCGAAGAAAAGAAAAAAAAAAAAAAACAAAAACAGAACCTAGCTTTAGTGAGAACGCTTCACAACCTGTTGGTGATATTGAATATTCCTTCTTATTGGAACTGATTCCACTTTCAGTCTGCACTGATCCTGAATATACTTCTGATAGTATACTTCTTTACGTTCTGTTGTAACATTTATGCCCTTGGCATCTGGAGTAAGGGCACAGGAGACATGCTGCTGCATCACTTTGTTCAACATCTGACATGAACAAGATATCTTAAGCCGCTCCCTGAAAAACAAGTAGCAATGTACAATGAACTCTCAAATTCTTGTAGTAGCAGCTGTTCACAGCCACCATATGGTATACACCAGTACATTTTCCCTTTCAAAAACCCAGTACCTGTACTCCAGTCTATGCAGTGCTCAAGCACATCCTGAAACGGTAGGCTAGCTCGTGCGCGCTGCTCACTGATCTTCATAGCAGTTCCTGCTAAGTTATGGAAACTAGAGTTTACTTTAAATTCAGCACTTTATTCATTTTTTTGTATTTACTATATGTTAGAGCTCAGGAAATTCTGAGTTCCTAAAATGACTGTTCAAACAATACTGTGTGCTGTATTCTGCTACTACAAAACAATGCTTGGTAAGTCAGCTATAACTTCACTGATCAGAGTTTGTGAAAAACATACATACATTACATATCTATATATCTACATACATACATATGTATATATCTATATATATTATATTGCAGCTTACCAATTCTTAGATGCGGCTGGATTAGTTTTCTTTTTTAGGCTTTCTTTCTTTTATTCATATTCAGCTGGTGATCTGGTCATTAAGTCTAATGTTTTTCAAAAGTACAAGCTCTCTTCCAGTTGTATCATTAATAGGGAAACATTGACAGGGGTGCTTACAATGATCAGCTTTTATTTATTCATGTAAAACCTTTATATCCCAAAAGGAAAATAAAGTTTTTTTGTAACTGATTATAAAGTGTGAGCTGAAGTTTGGCTTCAATTTGTTAATATACTTAAATCTGCTAGTATTGACCACCCCTGACTGCCAATGCTGCTGTCTGCTGTACCCCTGTGCTCATTCATCCCAAGTGGGGGTACTCTAATAAACGAAGGTGTTTTACTGGATAGATCACCAGGTAAAAAAAGAGGGAAAATTAATTTTATAATGAAATAAGTCTGACATAAGGCCAGCCTATAGATTTTAATTAAGGAGCCTACAACTAAGGTCTCTACAGCTTTCTCCCATTTTTCTAATTGAATTCAATTAAAAAAATGTGAGAATTGTTGAAGAAAACTATGTGAAAAACTTTATAAATAGAATCCTAATTTTCTCCAGGTAATTGTATCTTAACTTCAAATAACATACATGAATGGTCTATTTATAATACATAAAGTTTCAGGGTTTTTGAATCCTTGTAGTGAATATTGCAATTTGAGATTTATTTTTGACATACTGCTTTTTTTTCATTCTCACTTGACAGTTATATAGCTTTAAACTATCTTTATTTTCTGACGTATGGAAATTGAACTGCATTTTTTCTACTGAATTTAAGGTAATACTATTTCAAGATACACTAAAAAGCATGACTAGCTCTTGCTAGTTTTATCTCTGATAAAGCCATTAAAGGTGAACATTTAGGGAAATAACCCAAATGTTTAAAAACGGTTCTAAAGGCTCAAGGTTTTTTACCTTAAAGTGATTCTAGAGGTTATTTTTTTTTTTTAAATAACAAACATGATATACTTACATGCTATGTGCAGTGGTTTTGCACAGAGCAGCCTAGATCCTCCTCTTCTCAGGTCCCCTGCAGGCTCTCCTGGCTCCTATGTCTGTCGGGTGCCCCCATAGTAAGCATCTTGCTATGGGGGCACCAGTTGCTCTGTGTGCCCATTCACTCTCCTCATTGGCTGACTGGCTGTGATTGACAGCAGTGGGAGCCAATGATTTCTGCTTACTGTCTCAGCCAATGAGGAGGTAGAGACTCAGGACAGCCGAGGCTGTCGTTCACATTGCTGGATCGAGGCTTAGGTAAGTATTGAGGGGGCTGCGGGAGCTGCTGCACATAGAACATTTTTTACCTTCATGCAAAGAATGCATGAAGGTAAAAGACCTTCAGCCTTTACAACCACTTTAACCACCCCCCCGCCCGCCATATAGTAATATGACGGACACAAGGCGGTTCTCTCGTTCTGGGAGGACGTCATATGATGTCCTCCCATTCTCACCGCGCATGTGTGGCTCAGGGAGCGCGCAGAGCAGCGATCGGTGGTGCACTGTGTCCCTCAGGACACAGAGAATCACCGATCACGGAAAGAGCCGAAGATGTCGGTTCGGTCATGTGATCAGCTGTGTCCAATGACCACAGCTGACCACATGTAAACAGGGAAATGCCGGTTATCAGCATTTCTCTCCTCTCAAGCTGTCACGCTGACAGCTCGAGAGGAGAGGAGAGCCGGTAATCGCTTTCCGCAGAGGGGACATGTATACTGATCATCAGGGCACTGATGATCAGTGTGCCCTGATGATCAGTGTAGCCCCAGCAGTGCCATCTGTCAGTGTCCATCAGTGCCTTGTGCCAGTGCCCATCAGTGCCACATCAATTCCACATATCAGTGCCTACCAGTGCAAATCAATGCCACATATCAGTGCTCATCTGAGCCGTCTTTCAGTGTCACCTATCAGTGCCAGTCAGTGCCACCTATCAATGCCAGGCAGTGCCACCTAACAGTGCCAGTCAGTGCTGCCTAACAGTGCCAGTCAGTGCCGCCTATCAGTGCTATATATCAGTTCTGCCTTTCAGTGCCCATCAGTGATGCCTGTCAATGCCCATCAGTGCAACCTACCAGTGCCTCCTCATCAGTGCCTATCAGTGCCACCTATCAGTGTCCATCAGTGCAGCCTATCAGTGCCCATCACTGCAGCCTCATTAGCGTACATCAGTGAAGGAGAAAAATCACTTATTTACAAAATTTTATAACAAAAACTAATTGGAAACTTTTTTTTTTTTAATTTTCAGTTGTTTTTGGTTTGTTTAAGAAAAAATAAAAAAGGTGATTAAATACCATCAAAATAAAGCTCCATCTGTCGCAACAAAAATGATAAAAATGTCATATTGGTACAGTGTTGCATGGCCGCGCAATTGTCACTCAAAGTGCGACAGCACTGAAAGCTGAAAATTGGCCTGGGCAGGAAGGGGGTAGAAGTGCCAAATAGACAAGAGGTTAAACTTTAAAACAAAAGTCCTTTATTGCAAACACCTAAGCAATGAACCTACACTAACCAGCTGGAAGATAGCTGAGAACTAAAGCAGATGTAGATATCATGCAACCAATACATGGCTGCATAGCAAATCATCTGTAGTATTGGAAATTGGCCTGGGCAGGAAGGGGGTATAAGTGCCCTGTAGGCAAGAGGTTAATTAATTCTTTCATTACAATAAAAAAACCTTCTATTCAACATAATCCCCCCTCCTCACCCCCCTTATACTTACCTGAGCCTGATCCAGTGCTGTGCATTAGAGCAGCGGCTCCCTCCTCTCATTCTTTCTTCACTGGGCAGATTGATAGCAGCAGGAGCATCTCCTGCTGCTGTCAATCAAATCATATGATGAGGGAATAAGGCGCGGGGAAGAGTCCCCCTGTCCATGTCATTGGATGCAAGCAGTGGGGCTAGGGAGGGAGGGACCCCAGTGCCCCCATGGGAAGTTACTTCTTATGGGTGCATTTGCTGCAGAGGAGGAACTGGGAACACCAGCCGGGGAAACAAGAAGATTGGGGCTGCTTTGTGCAAAACCATTGCACGAAGCAGGTAAGTATGACATGTTTATTATTTTTAAGAAAAAAACAATACGGTTTACAACCACATTAAGTCTGTGATTGCTAAAATTTCACAGCAATAATCACACAAGGTTTTAGCACCAAGCTGACATAAAATACTCTACAGTTTATGACAAAGTACCATGATACCACTGTTTATGCCAAAAGAAACCATTCTTCCAAAGGAGATTTTAAAGAAAAATGAGTGATTTCTAAATCTTTTTAAAAGTTTTTTTATGGTTTTAAAAAATACATGAAATTTTCATAAGCATGGTAATGCCTTCTTTTTTCCTGCAAGGACAGAATTAATCATTAGTATTGTCTCTGTCTTTTCTGGCAGATATTTTATGATATATAATGTTCAAAATTGTCAGAGTTTCTTAGTGTCATCTGTAGCTGCTGCATTTTCGGTAGTTTGTAGAACAGAAGGAAAACAACATTTTATTTTAAACTATTTTCTATTGACCTCTTTCAGATGGTACAATGTCAAAAATATCAGCAGAATAATGCATTGTACTACACAAATTAGAACTAACCCTCATTTCTATATCCAAAAAATCATAACTGAGAAGTTAACATAACACATTACTAGAGTTTGAGAAGTGGCTTTGGCATTTCTTGTGTCTATTTGATCACTTCCCTATATGCTTATTATTTATAGAAAAAAAAACTAAATAAAAAAAATGTTTTATATTATTATTATTATACAGGAGTTACATAGCGCCTACAGTTTGCTCAGTGCTTTACATTATAGAGGGAGACAGTACAGTAACAATACAGTTCAATACAAGAGGGATTAAAGGGCCCTGCTCCTTGGAACTTACATTCTAGGATATATATATATATATATATATATATATATATATAGTCAAGTGAGACAATGGGTGATAAACTACTGATTGAAAGTGATACTAAACCTAAAAACGTTTTAACGTGCATTAAGGTAAAAACTGTTTTTACGTTCCCTGTTCTCCCCCTTCCTAGTGTGAAGGGGAAGAGAGGGTAGTAGAGATCAGCGTTGTGCATGGCTGCATCTCCTCTATCCTCGCTTCCTCTTCCCATAGGGACTAGAACAGACATTGGCTCTTGCTGCTGTCAGTCACATGCAGTGAAGATGAAGTGTGGGGTGGGGCTAAGTTCTGCTGTGTGTGTCTATGGAAAGCGGCTTCGTAGGTACACAGGTCAAGAGCAAGCATGCGATGTTTGTGCCCATAGCAAACAGCTTGCTATGGGGACATATAAAAAAGAGAAGGAGCAATGTGAACAATGTGCCCCAGACCTCTAAAAGAGAATCCTACTGACTGCCCACATGATCTGCTTCTGGTGACTACTTGCTCCAAGTGACAGCTGCGGGGCCACAACTGAAGTATATAAACAAATGAACTGGGTCTCCCAGGTGACAAATACAGACATGACTTTATTTGGTCATTGGTGGTGAGTAGTCATCTGGAGCAGATTGGATCAATGGTTGGTGGATTTTTGTTTTTTAGCTTGTCTGCTGGCATCGGTCCTCATGATTGGCGTGGATCAGACAATGGATTTACATTGTGGAACATTGTTTGGACTTTTTTATTTTTAATAAAGGACTTGTCAAAAATGTATGTCTAATTAGTATTTACATGTTTTTGTGAATAAGTAGGGATACTATGTATTAATTCTCATATAGAGGACCAGAATGTTAGAGTGCTCCTTTTTGTAAAGAGAGCTTTGATATTATGATAATCCCCCCTCCAGCAGACCTCCTACAACCACCAGGACAGGGTTGTGGGGAAGGGGTCCTTGTACTTATAAACAGAGGGGCAAGGTGCTTTGCCAGATGGGGGTGCTTTGCCAGGAGGGTCCCAAAGGGCCTGATATGAATTTTGGGGGATATCCCATTTCTTTTTTTTAAAACTATCCCTGACAGCTGAATGGGATGGATGATGATGGTTGTTAGGTCAACAATGGCTCCCTAACAACCTGGACATCTGGGCAGCAAGCTGCAGTAATACAGCTGCTAAATGTTTCAATTCCCACAGCAGTCATCATTCATTTAGTTTGACTATTCCCCAAACCTCCAAACAGGCAAAATTTGTTCTGAGGTTGTTATTGTTTACGCCAATAGCTTAAAACTGTAAAATATTTTATTGTGCATCATGCTGTTCCATTATGCTCTTTTATCTGTGATGATGTTGACAGGCTCAGGTTTAAGTCTTTGTGGAAAAAATGTGTGCACAACTCAAGGTAGGTTTATATGAATATGTGGATATTGTAAACATCAGTATTTTGGCCAGAAATACATTGCAATGAACAGTATATATCTTTAAATGTATGACCAAACATGTAGGGTTCTCTTCCCACAAAGTTGGGAGCATGAAATTGTCTAAAATGTCTTGGTATGCTGACAACTTAAGAGTTCCCTTCTTTCAACTGTTGCTTTTGTTTGTGTTTAAAGTCCATATTTTATACCCTTTTACTATTTATGATGTTGCTCAATATTTTGCATAATATGTTAATGCTTTATAAATAAGGATAATAATATAATGACAACATAAACATAATAATGTAAACCTGTGGTGAGAGAACTCTGTAAGCTGTCATTGACAGCTACTTCTGATATAAAGGCATGGGCTCTACTGCATCTAGTAGTCGCTATCTATCTCCTCACTATTCCCCAGACTTTAATGAAGGAAGCAAAATACATAATAACTAGAGATGAGCGAATTATTCAAAAATTTGATTCGGCTGATTCGCCAAATTTGCGGAAGAAATTCGATTCGATGCGAATTTATTCGCTGCGAATTTAACTTATTAAAAGGGTTTCTAGGCTTCAGAGAGCCTTTATATTAGTGCAGAACACTGTACCTTTAATTTAAATGCCCTTGGAGTCTGCTGGGGAAGAGAAATAATACTGTCAGTCAGTATGACATGCAGATGAGTGCCGTCGATCTTAGAATCACCGCACACTTCACTCATTTGGGCAGTCACGGGGCACGACGACGAAGAAGAAGAAGAAGAAGAAGAAGAATGAAAAGAAGAAGAAGAAGAATGAAAAGAAGAAGAAGAATGAAAAGAAAGAAGAAGAATAATGAAAGAGAATGAAAAGAAGAAATGAAAAGAAGAAGAAGAAGAAGAATGAAAAGAAGAATGAGAAGAAGAATGAAAAGAAGAATGAAAAGAAGAATGAGAAGAATGAAAAGAAGAATGAAAAGAAGAAGAAGAAGAATGAAAAGAAGAAGAAGAAGAAGAAGAAAAGAAGAATGAAAAGAAGAAGAAGAATGAAAAGAAGAAGAAGAAGAATTAAAAGAAGAATGAAAAGAAGAAGAAGAATGAAAAGAAGAAGAAGAAAAATGAAAAGAAGAAGAAGAATGAAAAGAAGAATGAGAAGAAGAATGAAAAGAAGAATGAGAAGAATGAAAAGAAGAATGAAAAGAAGAAGAAGAAGAATGAAAGAAGAATGAGAAGAAGAATGAAAAGAAGAATGAAAAGAAGAATGAGAAGAATGAAAAGAAGAATGAAAAGAAGAAGAAGAAGAATGAAAAGAAGAAGAATGAAAAGAAGAAGAAGAAGAATGAAGAAGAAGAAGAAGAAGAATGAAGAAGAAGAATGAAAAGAAGAAGAATGAAAAGAAGAAGAAGAAGAATGAAAAGAAGACGAAGAAGAATGAAAAGAAGAATGAGAAGAAGAATGAAAAGAAGAATGAGAAGAATGAAAAGAAGAATGAAAAGAAGAAGAAGAAGAATGAAAAGAAGAAGAAGAAGAATGAAAAGAAGAATGAAAAGAAGAAGAAGAAAAGAAGAAGAAAGAAGAATGAAAAGAAGAAGAAGAAGAATGAAAAGAAGAAGAATGAAAAGAAGAAGAAGAAGAATGAAAAGAAGAAGAAGAATGAAAAGAAGAATGAGAGGAAGAATGAAAAGAAGAATGAAAAGAAGAATGAGAAGAATGAAAAGAAGAATGAAAAGAAGAAGAAGAATGAAAAGAAGAAGAAGAAGAATGAAAATAAGAATGAAAAGAAGAAGAAGAAGAAA